CCTGCCAACTACATAAGTCCTCAGGACCAAGGACCAAAGGCTCTTGACACTCTTGACCTTGCCTGTTGCTGCCCTTACCTTGCCCTGCCCGGAATCTGCACCTTTCATGCCACCTTGGCAAGGCCCGTTGTCTTCCACGAGAGCGTATCACTAGTGAACCCTGCTTGCTCACTAGTAGACTGGCTGATCTGTAATTCTCTGCTGCATCGGCAAGGAGAACTGAGTTTCTCCCATAACAATCCCATGAACCAAAAGGTCGTAGTTTGAGCTCTAGTCAGGGCACATGCCTAAGTTGCAGGTTCAGTCCCCAGTGGGGACATGCATGAGAAGCAACCCTTTGATGTTTCTCTCTCACATCTGTGTTTCTCTTCCTCTCTCTCTCTCCCTCCCTCCCTTCTCTCAGAAATCAATAAGCATGTCCTCAGGTGAGGATTAAAAATTTATTGCTGATATTTTAACCTAGATCATATTACATTTATAGGTAACTGTGGGAAATGGAGATCATTATATATTTTTCTGTCCAAGAATGTGCTGTTACTTTCCTGTTGTTCAAGTATCTTTTTGAAAAAAAAAAAAAAGGTTTTTTTGTGTGTTTTTTGTTTGTTTGTTTAGAGAGAAGGGATGGGGGAGAGAGAGAGAGAGAGAGAGAGAGAGGGAGAGAGAATCATCTGTTAGTTGTGTCTCGCACACCCCCAACTGGGGACCAAACCCTCAACCCAGGCACATGCCTGGACTGGTAATCAAGCTGGTGACCTTCAGGTCTACAGCACGGCATCCAAGCCACTGAGCTACCCCAGCTGGTGTTGTTCAGGTGTCTTTTATTGGGTAGCATGTTATGAATTGGTTCATACTGATCTTGCACATTCTTGTTAAGTTCATTCCCAGGTGTTTTACCAGTTTTGTTGCTATTGGGTGTTTTAGAAAGTTATATGTTTGACTTACTGTTTTGTATGTAAAGGATATTTAATTGTGTATGTAATTTCTCCCACATATTACTTAATTCTATTATTTGTAATAATGTAAAAGTTGATTCTAATGAATTTCAAGGTAAGTGAGCTATCATGTAATAATAATCATAGTATTTCAGTTATATATAACTTAAAAATAGCTAAAGTTTGACAGAAAACAGGAAGAAATAAGATAATGTGAAGGGTTAGAAAAATATTTTTGTTAGTTGTAAGTTATTAGTGACTAAATAAAGTAGTAACAGCATTCTTAGCATTTTAAATGAGTTATAGCCTAGATGCATGGTGTTGTAGTACTCAGAAATCAGAAGTATCTTGTAAGTGAAATTGTGCCCCTTGTAGGTAATCTAAGGAACTTATAATATGACAAATGTCCACATTTTCTAAAGGGAAATTTTAGATGGTGAATTCTGGGAAATAAAAGACTAAGATTATTGATTCTAGTTGCATTATAGGAGAGCTATTGAAGAGTGATGTATGGGCAATGAGAAGAAGCAGTGACCCTCAGATGTGTGCCATGGTGTATCACAGTGTGGTTCCGTCTCCTCCAGTGTCAGACCTTTTTTGCTTCCTGACGTTTTGAGGGTGTCTTTTCAGCCTAGGACACTCGCCAATCTTGGCAAGATGGCAAGCTTTTGTTTGTTGTTCTCGTTGTTCTTTAGGTCTCAGTTTGTATGCTGTCTGTGCAAAGAGAGAGGCATTGTTTCAGATCTAGGGAGCAAAGTGACGTGCGGTTTCCATTCTCCTGGACTCTTCACTGAGTTCCACGCAGAGCAGGGCTTCTCATTCTCAGCACTGCTAAGCAGGATAGACAGCAAACCAAGGTGGGGAGGGGGAGGGGGACACATCCCACCCAGTATTTCAGCTGTCCTAAGCGGGGTCAGGTAAGGTTTTCAGAGGTTCCGAGGTCACAAGAGAGACCAGGATGAGCGCACCAGCAGCTGGAGGGGAGCCTTTGAAATTCTATGTACCATTTTCTCTATTGGGAAAGGAAGCCTTTGAGACTGTTTGTTAATCCCAAGGTCGGGAGAAGGGCTGGGAGAAGGGCTGTGGAGGGGAAGCCTGGAGGCTCGCTGCAAACGTGAAAGCCCTGAAACCCCAGCAGGTGGGGCGCTCAGACTAGCTGGGGGCAAGCTTGCAGGTTCCTGTCCAGTGCATGTCACAAATAAACCTGCTACCTCACTTTCACTGTGCTTGTTGTCCCTTGCCTGAATCCATTCTTTCAGGCAGGACAAGAACTGAGCAGGGGAAGCCCCCTAACTCCCCTAACTTGGGTCTTCCCAGTAATGGTACTGCTGACCTTTTCAGTCAATAATTCTTCCTCCTGTTTTTTTTTCCCCCTGCATTGTAGGTGCTTGTTAGCATGCATTACCTCTATTCACTGCTGGCCAGTTATATCCTCCCTCACCTGCACCCTCACAACAATCTGAAATGTGTCCCTGCTTTACCTAATGCCCCTCTGGGGGCAAAATCACTTGTGCTTGAGAACCACTGACCTAGACCGTTTGTGGAACCTGAATGATCTGGCTTTGGTATGCAGTATTTTTATTATCACTCAGCTTAACATATTTCTAACTCCAATTGTGAGTTATTTTGGGGGGTTATTTAGAAGTGTACTTTATAATATCTAAATAGAAGGACTTTCTAGTTACCCTCTGTTTTGATTTCTAGATTATTAGCAATGAGAGTAAGTAACATACTGTATATAATTTCATTGAATTGAAATCTGCTGGAATTTGCTTTATAACACAATATGGTTAATTTTTTTCAATTTGTGTTATTTTATTTTTGCTCTTTACAGTCCAAAGCTGTAACCATGGGCATTTAGAGTTGTACAAGTGACAATTACAAAGAAAAAAACCACAACAAAATACCAAGACACCCAAGTGAGATGCTTGGCAGAGACAAACCACTCAGGGGCATTGGCAGGGATAGGGCTGGGAGCCAGGGCTCAGGGGCTGGGTGGCTCCTCACAGGCTCCTGGCTGACAGTCAGCTTCATCCCACCCCAAGACCCAGAGTCCAGTCAGACAAGGAGCATGATCCTGCCAGCAGGGGCCAAACCCCTCACAGCCCTGATCCCAGGTGCGCCACTGGCAGGAGGAGGAGGCTGCAGTGGCCGCGAGAGGCTGTGCCAAGACTGCAGACCCTCAGGCCATCACTGTGGCTGCAGGGCTGGGAGCAGAGCCAGAAGTCGGGCCTGGAGTGTCTCCTGCAGCCACCCTCCCGCCCCACCTTCCTGTCACAGCCCCTCTGACTGTGTTTCCAAGGGGAGCAGATTTCTCCGTCCTGAGCCAGGCCTGTGCAGTCTTCAGGAGAGTCCAGCTGGAATGCCTCACCAGCCCAGGTGAGACCCTGACATCCACCCATCACCTTGGGGGCAGAGCTGGGTTTACTGCTCAGGACCATTTAGACGAGAGAGTAGTGTCCAGACGTGCTTTCACATCTCCGTCACTGGGAATAAGGGCACAAACCCCTGCCATTCTCTGTGTCCTGGCATCTCTGTCTTGGGATCAAAGGACACAAACAGCGGCTTCATCCAGAGTGGGGAGGGCTTCCCAACTGTAACAAGCCCTGCAGTAGTGGCCTCTCGGTTCAAAAGAAACTGGCTCCTGCCCCCCTCCCTCCCTGTCTCTGGGGCTGGACGAGTGTGATGCTGGAAGTGCAGGAGCCCCTCGCTACCAGGAGGACAAAACGCAGGCCCAGGAAGACAGAGCCGAAAGACAGCTGAAGCTGTGTGCCTGGTGCTGCTGCTGGGCTGCCCGGCAGCCGGGTCTCTGGGCCTGGACTGTGTGATGGAGCCATAGTGCAGTTGTGCTCTTGATCCACGTTGCTGACATTTCTGGGCACGTGGCTGAAGGTGCTTCTGCCTCACAGATTTGAGACCACGCAGGTAAAACATGCTGCACATGCTGCTCTGTAACCTGGAACTGATGGTTCTTCTTGGTCATCCAAGACCTTGAGCAGAGATCTGAGAACTTGGCTGGTCTGGTGGCTGTCTGGACAAGCACCCAGCAGAGGGAGGCTCATGCGTCATGGCAGCTGGACTGTCACAGGAAGGATGCCTGTGCCCATCCCTGACACCACTGTGATGGGAATTTGTGGTTTAGAGTCAGAGCCCCTCCCCTGACCCCAGAGCAGCCGTATCTCGACTTCGGATTTTGTCATGGACTCTGCCTGCTGCCCTTGTCTCCCCATTTGAGTCACTGCCCAGGCCAGAGATGGCTGCCCCTACCCTGGGACAGAGGGTTGGTTGGTGTGTCCCAGTGAGGCCCAGAGGGTTCTAACAAACCATGTGGCTGAGGACCACAGGCCTGGGTGACACTGCAGCCCAACACAGTGACGCACGAGCCACCAGCAAACACAGTTCACAGGACATGTGCTGGCTTCTGCTGGACACGGTCAGGCTGGGGATGGGAGGGTGGCTGTTGGTGTCAGTGAGTGTGAGTCCAGCTGTCACTGCAGAATTTAACTCATCACCTTGGAGGCCATCACCTTGGACCGTCAGTTTGCACAGGAGCACGCTCCGCAGACAGACACACGGTGCTCTGCCCTGGGGATCAGAGGCAGGTTGGGCTCGTCCACCCAGCGCCACCCAGAGGGCAGATGAGGAGCCCCTGAGGCAGCCACCTAGAAGGACCATCCTCTCTGTTAAACGACCAGCTTCTATGTCGGGTCCTGTGAGGCATTCAAGGCAAGGTTGACAGGCAGCTCAGCTTCTGCCCCAGCCCCCTGCTCCAAGGAGGCAAAGTTTGGTGATCTCAGACCATCTTGTCCCAGAACTGACCTGAGGAGACTTTACCTGGATTGGGATCTGATTCATATATCCCCAGTCCCAGCAGCAGATAATGGGTTCTGGGACCCCTTCAGTTATGTGTTCCACTCTTATGATGGCAGGTGGTGCAGGGAGTGTTTTGTATTTTCAGCAGAGAATGTGGTCTAATTTTTCGAGAGGCCATTTCATCCTGCTACGTACAGAGCAGTCTTGTGAGCGCATTTCTGATGTACTCTGGTGATTCCTTAGGGCTTACTCTGCTCAGGGCTCAAAGTCAGCCTGCAGGGCCCAGTCTGCAGCAGGTGCCCCTTCTGACTGGTTGGTGAATGTTCTAATTAAGAGTCTGTTCTAGGGGACAGTGGGAAGGGTTCACAGGAACAAACTTAAAGGACACATGATCATAAACTAAGGGGAGGGTGGTAATGGGAGGGAAGTGGGGAGGGGTGGGAGGGGGGGCTGGATTGGGAGTGAAAAGGAGAAAACTGTATTTGAACAATGATTAAAATAAAATTAAAAAAAAAAGAGTCTGTTCTGATTGGCTGGTGTCTGCTCTGATTGGCCGGTGTCTGTGCCCACTAGCTGGGACAAATATACATGGACCACACCACCCAGTGGCCCCTCCTGGCTCCCACCCTGTCGGTCCAGCCCTGAAGTGAGCACATTGATGATTCTCGGGTGCTGATTGATGGTGAGCTTGCGGTGCTGAGGCACTGTGATGTGAGCCGTGGCTGCGCTGTAGGTGTTCTCGTCATCAGCTGTGTCCATTGCTGTCACTTGCATCCTGGTGGTGCCTGCAGGGAAACGCGGAGGGAAGTTGATATCCCAACAGCAAACAACCAGCATGGCAACAAAATTAGAGCAGAAGTCTGACGCGCAACATTCTCCCGTTTTAGTCCACTCACCGTGCAAACGATAGCACTGCCTGTGAACTGATACAGCAGCATAGTCCACCACATTCCTGTAGCGATTTCAGTGTTACTTGTTCACTCATTTGGAAGGATTCAGGGCTTCTTCTGACACGGCTGTAGCTGTGGGAACACTGTCCCCCATTCACCTGAAACTGTCAGGGACCTGAGGGAAGGGCATGTGGCTGTCCCAGGTCTTCACCTGTCCCACTGCTCCCAGACCCTGGTACCTCTTTCCCTGACAATGTCAGGGGAGTCCTGTCTGGACATCAGCCTCACAAGCCAGAGGGGAGAGCTGGGTGGGGGGAGTGAGTCCTGGTCTCTTAAACCAAGACTTTGGAGTTTGGTCCATGAATGGACGTGAGGTGGCTATTCCCCTCATGTGGTCATTATGAAACAGTTGGTGCTGGCTGGTGAGCAGGGTTTGCTGTGGGGACAAAGCTGCCATGACAGAAAAGGAAGGAAAGGGGGGAGAAAACAGCAATGGCAGGTGAGGGGGACAAGAAATCAGTGCAACAGAATGTCCTTTCATGCTGAATTCTCAGTTTCATTTATTTTTCAGCTGCTGCTGTCTACTCTGAGCTCAGAGGCTGATAACCATCATGTAACCATCATGCCCAGCAAGGCCCAGAGCTTGTCCATGAGCACAGAGGTTGTCCATGAGCACACAGCTCAGATCTGTGCCCAGCTCTGCCCACCCCCACCCTCTTAACCCTTGTGTGTGGCCCCTGGAATGTGAAAGGGGCTTAAAAATGTGTCATGAATAACTTCACAAGACAAGTGTCTGTCTCAAGTATTTGGAAAGTGAGGCAGTGAGGGGTTCACGTTCTAGAACCCCTTGACCCACACAGGAGACACTCCAGGGTTGTTGTCATCTGCAGCCACTGACTTTCTCTTCTTACAACAAACACCAAAGCAGGTTTGTCAGCCTTGGCCAGATGCTCAGTTGGTTGGAGCTTTGTCCTGTAACTTAAAGGTCGAGGGTTTGAGCCCTGGTCAGGACATGTATTGGACGCAACCAATTATCACACTGATGTTTCTCTCTCTCCCCTCCCCTCTCTCTAAAAGTAATGACCAATGTCCTTGGCTCAGGATAAAGAAAAAGAAAAGAAGTGTGTCAGCACCTGGGCCAACGATGCTGTAGGAAACCCGGACTTCCTCGTCCTTGTTTGATTTGATCTGAAGGTGACACAGGTACAGAACCTGCAAAGAACAATCCCCATCAGGTCTGAATTCCCTCAGCCGGGCTCCTTGAATGAGACCGGAGTTTTCCCTTTGCTGTTTCTGACCTACATTTTTGGGAATGGGCCTCTGTCATTCTCTGGGAAGTAGATGGGAGGGATAGCCCAGGCTCTCCTTTGCCTCTTGAGACCAGGGAACCACTGGGGAACATCAGTACGTCCACTTGGTGCCCAGAGAGAGCTTCCTAGAAGGACAGCAGGAGAGAGACCACAGCACAAGCCTAACTGTCCAGTAAGCCCAGCGGCTGTCAGCGCCACACTGACCTGCAGGAAGGGCTTCGGTTTGCTGCGTCCTGACCTTCCATTACCAACCACAGTGTCTGAGGCATCTTGGGGGCCCTTATTCGAAGGTGTCATCTGGCCAAAAAGCTGCAAAGCCAAAGAGAAGTAGGCCAGGGCACAGAGGACAATGCCTGTGGTCCCACGCGAGAGCCACCACTCAGCGTCGTGTTTCTCCTCTGCTCCCCAGAAAGCAGTGCCCCCACCCCCACCATGGCCTCAAGGATTTTGAAACACCTTCCTCAGCAGAAGAAGGCTGGGAGGAGGAGGCTGACATCCTGCGAGGCCTGAAGGTAGAGTGCACTTTCCCCTTACATGCGGGACACTGGAGAGCTCTCCTGGGCCCCGAGCGCACTGCACACACTGCACACTCACGTCTGTACCAGAACTAGGCTGACATGTGCTGTACAGACTCTCCCTGGAAACACCATTCTTGTCCAACAAGGGGGGTTGGTGAAACCTCAACCCAGCCTGGGGTGTGGGACCCAGTGTACCTGTGGAAACTGGAGGAAGGTGGTCAAGGCATGTAGAAGGGAAAGAGGCTGCTGAGGAAGTCAGACGGGGTTCTGTACTGTTTGTAAAGGAAAGGTGTTTGGGTGTGTCTGTGTGCAGAGAAAGCTCTAACTTGCTGTGTTAATTGGTGTGCCTTCTGGATTATGGAATTATGGGTGGTTTTATTTTCTGTGTTTCCCAAACTGTTTTAAAGCAACAACTACATATCAGCAGAAAAAAAACAATAATGTTCCCATCAAGGTTGAGGGTCTGCAAAAGAAGATCTTAAAGTGCAAATTTCACAATCTTACAGTTTTCTCAGAGTCATGAGATGAACTATCTCTTACTTTAAAAAAATTATTTTTAAAAAACTTCCTTTAGTAACTTTTAGGAAGCCTGATATTTCAAGACAGCATCTGTGGGTATCATACCTCCCCAAGGGTGGCTCTCAGAGGCTGGGTCAGGAACTTTCCAGGGCAGTTAGGGCCGGGGCCAGACCAGGGGCCAGATCACTGACAGACAGGGCAGGGTCTGAATGTTCAGTCTGCCAAGCTTCAGAAAGGCCTACCTGACCCCAGCTTGGAGGGCAGTGAGCTGTTCTGTGTTCATGGCTGACCATTATTCTGGCAAGTAACCCCATCAGCAGGTCAACTATGGTCCCCAAGCCAGCCCACGGCTCCCTTGCCTGGGTGGCAATCAAGAACATAAACCAGGTGGCCGGTGTAGTCAGAGTTGAATGTGTGATGGAGGCAAGTGGCCATGCTGTCCTGTCCTGTCCCCTCAGCCACTGATCTAGTTTTTGCCCAAGGACTATTGACCTACCCAACTCAGGTCAATCGCAGTGTCATGTGGAGGAGTTGGGAAGCCAGCAGGTGCAGCTAGCATGGCCTTGGAGGCATACCAGATGTCATGGGGACAGGACAGTAACCCCAGCTGCCTGTCAAGGACAAGAGACTCAGAATCCAGCAGATGTCAGGCTGCACTCACTCCTTGGAGCCTCCACTTTAAAACATGGATGGTGGCTGCCAGCCACTGACAGGTGGGCAGGAGGGGTGTGTAAACACCCAGCTCCCTGCACAAGGTGGTCTGAGACCGAGTGAACTATGTAAGCAAGGCTGAAACAAAAGGGCCTGTTTATGACTTAGCTCTGAGAGCCACACACCATTTTCACAACACAGAGCAGCCTGGTTGTGTGAAGGAGGAACTGTACAAGGTCAGGGGTGACAGCATGTGGACTTGGGGGACACCTTGGAGGCTGGCAGCTATACTAGGAATGTGGTTTGCTGCTGAAGGGGAAGGAGAGGGAGTAGAACTCTGTCTACTCATCTTTAATCACTAAGACTTCTGGGAGAGCTTCAAGGTCTCTCCTGGTGGGGGGTCATGGTGACCATCACATGGCAGTCTGTGGGTTGCCCTTCCCACTGTATTCAATGCCAGCCCCTCTGCCAGCACCTCATAGGACTCTGCCCCTCTCCCATGGCCCATGCTGAAAGCCACAGAATATTGAGTTTATGGTGTTCTCTCTGGGCTGTGGTGGTGGGGGGAGAAACAGGGAAGGGAAACAGAACCCAAGAAATATACCTTCCTTTAAAAAAGCATAAAAGAAAGTAATAGTGGATATTTATTATTGAAACCCACATAATTTATATAGACACTCTTCACAAGCCTGGAACTGGGACAGAAAGGTCATCATTCCAGGTCATGGGGGTGGGTGTCCCTGTTTGTTGAACCCACCCCAGCAGGAACAGGGTGGGTCATGCTTAGGTCTCCCTCATGCAGGAGAGGGTATGATGGGGTCCTTACTAGTTGTTCACCATCTCTCCGTATTGAACTCAGCTCTGGTTCTAAGAAAAGTGTCTGGGAGCTGTTGGCACCAGATGTAGATGTTTACCCTGTTCTCACCCTGAGTCTTGCTGGACTCCCACCCATTGGGTCCACAGGAATTTTGTGCTCTTGGGCCATTGTGAACATTATCTGTGAATGGGTGGCCAGGAATGACCAACATCTGCATGTCCATTATCCCATCATGCTTTAATTTACAAACTTTAAAGATACAATGAGTATGAATTTCGAGGTGGTGTCAGTGGTGTATTAAGCCCTGTGGGACCCAGGTACAAGGAGAGTGCATTACAGAAGTGGCTGTCCTGCAGGCTTCATGAATGCCATATATAGACTGGGTGCACCTGTCACAGGAGAAACTCGGTTCTTCTTTCCGATGCACTAAAGGATTGCAGATCAGCAAGTGTATTAGTGTGCAAACAGGGTTTGTTAGTGATACGTTCTCATGGAACAGGACAGGTCTTGCTGAGATGGGAGTGAAAGGTAAGAAGTTGGGTGGCAAGAGCACCAGGTCCTTTGTCCTGAGGACTTACACAGTTGGTGGGATGGGGCCAAAGAAGCTACATATTGATTGACAGGTAAAAGTGGTACCAGCTTCCATGGGGCATGAGACTACTCAAACATAGGTATGTGTGGGGGTTGGTAGCCCAAATCCTTACCTGGCTTCAGACTCCATTTGGTCATCTTGCAAAATAAATATGAGATAGGAGACAGTGAAAGTTAAAGAAGTCACCCAAAGTTATCTATGGGCTCTTTCTGTAAACATTAGGGACCCATCATAAAACAGATGGTGGACAGAGGCACAGTTAGCCAACTTTGTTTTATGGGTCCTTTCCTTGAGTGCTGTGGACCCCCTCCCATCTTCTAGGCCTTGGGATGAATAGTTTCAAAGCCTTTCTTTCCCAGATGGTAGAAATAATACTTAGAATTTTGTGTTAGCATGGTATTTCTGGTGATGCTGGACCATCTGGTAATAGAATTGGACCAGGCCCAGGACTGCTGAGTTAGTGGGTGAGGCATGTCTTCCTCATCCTCCCTGCCTTGGCTCACCTTCTATCCCACCTAACACACCAGTGTGGGCAGATGTTGCTCCCAGTGTCAGTTCTCAGCAAGGGGTGGGTGAGGGCCTTGTTTCACAGGGTATTTTCAGTACCACCCGCCTGTGTTGAGGCTCTGAGTGCACAAGCTCAGTGAGAGGGTGGTAATCTGGAGGGACGCACATCCTCCACCTCACGCCTCCTTCTCTGGGCAGCTGAGTCTATGTGGGGAAAGCAATGGGGTCTGCTCAAAATCTGAGTTTGGCGACAGACCCCTACCCTGTCCTTATCTTCCTTTGTCCAGTGCTAAAGACCCAGAAGACAAGGGCACTGATGGCTGTTCAGCAGGACTTGTGATCTCAGCGATCCTCTTGCCAGATTCTGTCTGTGCTCACTCAACGTTGAATGTCAAACTGAAAGGCTGGAGTTCCCATTTCCAGTGTACAGACTAGGAAAAAGGCAGAGTGAAGTCCAGAGTCTTGCTTTAGGTCACACAGCTGGAGAAGACAGAGCTGAGACTCACACCCACTATGGACTGATGTGGAATCTGTGTGCTGTGCACCAGGAAATGCTGACACTGAAGGGGCAGGAAGGAGGAAGACCAGGTGCCCAGACTGAGACAGGCTCACGTTTGTGCACAAGCACACATCCCTCCCTGCCGTTCACCTCTGAGGCTCCGGAGGTTGTAGGAAACTAGAAGAGCCAAGAGAAGTGAAGGGAGGAGGGCAGGGAGCCTATCAGGAGAAAAAGGCCCCCTTCCCAGGAGTCTGGGGAATTCCCTTCCCTGGTGAGTCTGTCTCAAATTCCTCTCTGGGCAGTAACCCAAGTAGGCTGTCTCAAGACTTCCCCATTTGTAGGGGTTGAATTTCTGTGGCTGAGAGTATGAGTTCTTTGTGGCTCTTAAGGAACCCTCTGCTTTCAGTGATGGGGAGAATGAGGGACTCGGGCTTCATATTTGTATGGAGACAAAACTCTTTAGAAAAGGACATCAAAAAACCACAAGAGATTGGTACTGATATCCCCATATTACTCATGGAACTATTTGTCCATCTTATCTCTTGTCGTGAAACTGCAGGGTTTGTTTAACCAGTTACTTCTGTACTAATTACAATCTTGGGGAGAATAAGGTTCCATAGACTTTTTAGGGCTATTGACATGTGATTTAATGATAATGATTCATTCACTTCACCTGCAAATATAGGGATTCTCCCTAGTGTGTCGTCTGGTGTCTGATGAGATGTGACTTTTGTGTAAAGCCTCTCCCACACTCCTTGCAAACATAGGGCTTCTCCCCTGAGTGTGTCCTTTGGTGTGTGATGAGACCTGACTTCCAGGTAAAGCCTCGCCCACACTCCCTGCAAACATAGGGCTTGTCCCCAGAGTGTGTCCTCTGGTGTGTGATGAGAATTGACTTCTGTGTAAAGCCTCGCCCACACTCCCTGCAAACATAGGGCTTCTCCCCTGAGTGTGTGCTCTGGTGTGTGATGAGACCTGACTTCCAGGTAAAGGATTGCCCACACTCCCTGCAAACATAGGGCTTGTCCCCAGAGTGTGTCCTCTGGTGTGTGATGAGAGCTGACTTCTGTGTAAAGCCTCGCCCACACTCCCTGCAAACATAGGGCTTGTCCCCAAAGTGTGTCCTCTGGTGTGTGATGAGAGCTGACTTCTGTGTAAAGCCTCGCCCACACTCCCTGCAAACATAGGGCTTCTCCCCTGAGTGTGTCCTCTGGTGTGTGATGAGATTTGACTTGCAGGTAAAGCCTCGCCCACACTCCCTGCAAACATAGGGCTTCTCCCCAGAGTGTGTCCTCTGGTGTGTGATGAGATCTGACTTCTGTATAAAGCCTCGCCCACACTCCCTGCAAACATAGGGCTTCTCCCCAGAGTGTGTCCTCTGGTGTCTGATGAGAAGTGACTTCCGTGTAAAGTCTCGCCCGCACTCCCTGCAAACATAGGGCTTGTCCCCAGAGTGTGTCCTCTGGTGTCTGATGAGATCTGACTTCCCTGTAAAGCCTTGCCTGCACTCCTTGCAAACATAGGGGTTCTCCCCAGAGTGTGTCCTCTGGTGTCTGATGAGATGTGACTTCTGTGTAAAGCCTCTCCCACACTCCCTGCAAACATAGGGCTTCTCCCCTGAGTGTGTGCTCTGGTGTCTGATGAGACATGACTTCCAGGTAAAGCCTCTCTCGCACTCCCTGCAAACATAGGGCTTCTCCCCTGAATGTGTCCTGTGGTGTGTGATGAGATGCGACCCATCACTGAAGCCTTGCCAACACCCTCCGTGCTCCATTGTTACAATTTTTGACATTCCTGCTTTCACAAATACCTTGCCTGTGTCCTCTGGACTCTCTGTCTGGCCTCTGCAGGGCTCTTCCTCCATCATCCTCTCATGCTCACTAGAGCTCTTCATTTGTTCTTTGGAAGTTTGGTAAGAGCGTCTTGAGAGTCTCTTCTGACTGATCCTTTTAAGGAAAGGTTTGGACCTTTCTTTGACTTCCTGACCTTCAGCTTTATCATTCCAGCTATGTGTACGAGTATGTTGCTGCTGCTGATTCTGATCCTCTGGGCAGGGTTCCTCTGCTTGGAGGTGTTTTCTTGCAGATGTTCCTGGGAGAATCTGGGAGGGATGACTGAATTTAACATGTTGGCTGAGGAATTTCTGACTGGAGAAGGCCAGAGAGCAGGAGGGACATGGGTGAATCTCTGGCTTTGGTTCTGCTGAAAGAGAAAGGTTTGGTCAGGGCAGATGTTGATGAGAATGCCTGGGCCATATGACTTGTCTCCTGGTAAGATCTGCCCCATGAATCCTTCTTTCTGTGGTGACAACGCAATCTGTGTCTCCCAGTGTCCATTTGCAGTCTATTTTCCTTTGCATTTTTATGCAGTGCATCTTCTTCATAACTCCAGAAACCCCACATCAAGGGTCTTTGCTAATATTGCTCAGATTAGGGACTTTCGAGTAGCAGGAGAGGCAATTTCACTCCCTGAACTGCAGTGACCTTCCCCATTACAGGTATCCTCTACGTTATGTTAAAGAGGAAAACTAGGAATTGCTTCTCTTTCAGTTTTTCACAACTATAAAATAATCTTTCCTGCCCTTGCTCGTGCGGCTCAGTGGACTGAGTGCCTGCCTGTGGAGCAAGGACTCACAGGCTAGATTCCCAGTCAGGGGACCTGCCTGGGTTGTGGGTCCGGTCCCCAGTAGGGGGCGTGTGAGAGGCAACCATGCATTGATGTTTCCCTGTCTTTCTTCCTCTTCCTCTCTAAAAGTAAATAAAATCTTAGAGTCATTCCTCAAGCCTCACACCAAATATTTATGCTTCATTCCATTCAGTGTTTGTCCATTTCAAATACACTGAGAAGTCCTGTTTCAAAATATTTCTCCAACCACACGTTTTACACGCCTGACGGATTCTTTTTCCTCTCTGGCCAATCCACTATGCTCTCTCACTTGGAGATGAAGTGATCTCTGAGGAGATTCCCCACTGGAGTTTATTTTCTAAAAATTACCAAGGCATAATCAGAACAGAGAACACACCACTCTATGCTGAGGACTGCACACTTACACTCAGCAAAGCCCCCAGTGTCTCAACTCGGATCATTGACACTGCACCTCTGGTCTGCTAAGCACCTATCTGATCTCCATTCTTACCCCCTATGCTGAGACGAGACCTGAGTGACCCTCAGCCAATTCAAAGCCCCACCTCTTCTCTTCCCTGCACTAGCTGCTCCTCTGCCTGGGATCCTCTGCCTGCAGGTATTTTTGTAAATGTTATCTCCTGAGGGAGCCCTTCCCGGACCACATGCCGCACCACACGTCCCCTCACACTGATCCCTAGACACTTGGCTGGATTAGTTTTCTCCAAAGCACTAACTGCTGTGTGGTGTTACGCACATGCAAGCACGTGTGTCTGGGTTTCCCTGCCTTATTGGTCAGCTCCCCAAGAGCAGTGATTCTCTCCTCATGTTTATCTGTATTTCTAGGTCCAGGATGCTGTGTGCCACAGAGTAGGATCTCACCTGACAATTCATTGAAATGGTGAACAAATGTGCCCTGCCTGAATGGTGTGACTTGGTGGGTTGGGTGCTGTCCAAAAACTGAAAGGTTACAAGTTCAATTACCAGTCAGGGCACATGCCAGGGTTGTGGGCCAGTTAGGGGTGTGCCATAGACAGCCAATTAATGTTTCCCTTACACATTGATTTTTCTTTCTCCTACCTTTCCACTCTCTGTAAAAATAAATAAAATCCTACTTAAAAATTTTTGATTTATATATTTATTTATTTTCAGAAAAAGGGGAAGGGAGGGTAGGAGAGGGAGAGAAACATCAATGTGTGGTTGACTCTCATGTGTCCACCTACTGGGGACCTGGCCCAAAACCCAGGCATGTGGTGCAACTGGGAAATCAGACTGGTAATCCTTTGGTTCACAGGCTGGTGCTCAATACTCCTAGCCACACCAGCCAGGGCAAAATCTTTAAAAAATAACGAATGTCTATAAACAGAAACGTTTTAATTAGAAGTATGGAGGAAAATTAAGAAGAAACAGTTGTAAAAGTGTCAGAAAAACTGCCTTGGTGAGAGAACTGGTTAGTGCTTGAAAACTTTTTTTGGTCTCTCAGTCTTTCAGCACTATATGCAGTTGTGTATTTTGTTCATGAAATATTTTAAAAATAAAAAAATATAAAAATTTTGCCTAAGAGTCAAAGGCATATGAATGATGAATTTCTGAAGCATCTGAGTTGAAACTTGACTGACTTTAGAGTGGATTTTACTCTACTTAAAAGTTGGATCATAAGTATTTCTATGGAGATTTCTCTTTCTTTCCGTTTTGAAGAACAGTGGTGCCCACCTCTCTCGGACGCGAGCTCTCTCTTCCACTTGCTGCCCCACTTGCTGCCCAGCTCCTGGCCATACTCGTCCCCAAACCAGACCAGCAGCTCACAGCCCGGCCTGATGACCCGGCAGGTTCGGTAGAAAATCTGCCCGTGGTATTGAAAGGCCACCAGGTTCTGCTCTTCATCATCCCGGGCACAGTTCACATACCTGGGATTGAGGCAGAGGAAGGGAAAGAAAACCACAGTGATGAGTTCTCACGACCTGTCACGTTCATGTCCAGCTCCTCACTGATTCTTAAGGCCCTCAGGCTCTGGTGTTGCCCACTGCCCTTCATGCTCCCGGGGAACCTTCTCTTCAGTGTCTGAGCCTGTCAGCATGTCATGTGAATTCCTGCCTCCAAGCCCTGCTTGCAAGTGTTCTTCCTGCCTAAGACCATTTCCTAAAACCCAGTTCTAGACTTAACCTCCACCCTGACTGGCCATAATATCCAGTGATCTCTGGGTTCTACAAACTCTAAATCGAGTTGTGTCACACCACAGAACCTGGTGCTTGATCTAGGGCTCTGCTTCTAAATTAGCTCACCAATTATCCAATACTCAGCCCATGTCTGTTTTCCCCTGAGAGGCCTTTGTCCAACCCCCCTACACTTTATTTATGGTACCATTTACTTGCCTGCCCAAGGTGACCATAGAAAAATGGAGGTCTTTTCATCCCAGTTAAAATAAAACAGAACAATAGTAGTTGATTCACATTCTGTTATCCCTGATGAAAGAGAGCCCCTCTCAGGAAAGGGGCCCATGACCATTCTTCTGCAGGCCTCAGAGCCCAGCTCTAGTTAGAAGTGAGGCTCGGATGGTTTGCTGCCCTCACAGGTTCAGGCCACCCTTGGTTTGTGGTATCTTGACACTGTGCACTTTTTGGAAATTAGTTAAATGTTTCCAAAAGCAATTGTTTTATGTCTGTCTGTGAGAAGTCCTCCATAAGGACATGGGTTGTGTGATCTATTTAAATAATGTATTCCTTCACATAAACTGGAATATAGTGTTTAATTAATGTTCATTTGATAAATTGAAGTGTAATCCAGTGTCCCTGGTGAATCTAGGCTCTTCAAGGTCCTTTCCAGTGTCCACATTTTGTCTAGCAGATAGCTTTATATTTTGAGGACATATGCTATACTTTTTTCTTAAATGTCCCCTGAAATGAAAGAACACTGTATGGAGAAAAAGAGGAAAAAAGGATTAAGGGAGAGCACTGAGGGAGGCATGATAAGGAAATTTATATATGGGCTGTTGGGGATGAGAGTCCCCTCTGGCACCCAAGGACCTATGGACCTCACCTCATCCAGTTGGCCCAGGATCTGTCCTTTCCATCCACATACTCGTAGCAGTTTCTCCCTTTGGCGATCTGTTTCAGAAAAGAAGTTAAAGACTTTTTATCCTTTTTTGTGGGGTGGTAATAGAAGAATTATTTTACTCTACTGTCATCAAAGCTCTTCCATCGTGCATGGGGATTCAACTGCCAACTGTGACCACATGATATTGGTCTTACTCACCATCTACACATCCGAGTCTACCTGTCCAATCAGAGCGGGAGCCCCACAAGGGAAGAGCCACTCTTTTGTGTCTGCACCACTTTGCTCCCGCTCACCTTCTGATCCTTAAACTGGAGCTCTGTGTTCATGTAAAGTCCAGTCAGTATACAGAGCTAACCATATTGTCCCCTCCATATCTAGCATGTAGGTGAGGTCCAAGCCTCAGAAGACATGCGGGAAGCCAGAGGACAGTGGAAGAGGTAAATAGTTCTCACCAGCCAGGAGTATCTGCTCTTGGCTGCCTCTTCATCTTCTGTGATGTGCCCTTCATAAGGGCCAAAGAGCAGACCCACTGGCAAGTCCGCTGCCTCATTCCACACTCCAAGCCCAGCCTCAGGGATGCCCGATGGCCCGATTCTCAACCCAGGGGGCAGGGTGAGGGCTGAGCGGTGGGGATGCCCCTTGTCCACTGCAGTGTCCTTTACAAATGTAGGGGGCCCATGTACAGCACAGCTGTCGATGAAGAAGTTCTGACACTTGTCACAATCTGGAGGTGAGAGCAACAGGGGTTAGGGAAGGTTTAGCACATGTTCCTGGACACAAAGAGCTTCAGAGGGAGTCCGGCACTCACATCATTGAGACTCAATCTTGTACTCCAGGTCACTAGAGGAAGGGAATGATTTGGGGAGCAAAGGACCAGATGAAATTATTGTAGTATACCATGTTTCTCAGTGAGGGTCACTTACAAAGGTAGTCATCATCCTGGGGATCATTGACCTCTTGGTACACATGGCCCTTTCTTTCTCGTAGGCTGTACAACTTCATGTCCATCTCCTTTCTCCTGAGTTCTGAGTTGGAGAAGGCCAGGTAAGTAAGCGAATTTGGTGTGGTGTGGAGTGTTAGTTCTCATTTTGTCAGATAACACAATCTCCTCCCATCAAATGATTACCTGTCCTTTTGCGTACTCTGGTATTTTATTCCATTAACTATTGGTTCAAAAGACTAAGACTCTAACTACAGATGACTGATTCAATTTTAGTTTCTAGATTTTCCCATTACCAGCCAATCTTTCCCATTTTACTTGCCAATCTTTAATCAATCATAAAATATTTATGGATGCACATTACGTGTTAGGCATTGAGTAAAGGCCTGGGCACACACCACCAATAAAGTGTGGTTGCTACCATCACAGATGGATTTATTGGACAACTTGTATGTGTCATGTTTTAAATTCCATTTAATGTTTTCAAACAATATATGAGTGATGTTTCTTTATCTTCACTTTACATATTAGCATTCAGGAGCTCAGAGAATTTATAGGATTTTCCCAAAGGTCCAGTGGTAACTTCAGTCTTCAGCTTATCCCAGCTTAAATCCAGGCCTACCCAACGTCTACCCCACATACCTAGGTCATACTTATCAGCCCTTCTATAGGACTTAGAGGAACTAAAGCTTCCAAATTATTTTCTCTTACCCAATTTTTGTCTAGTGTGATTTTCAAAGGCACATGCTTCTCCAGGAGGGGACACTGGTTTCTGGGCATGCTCTGAGTCACTTGCAGTCATCCAATTTTCTGTTCCTGACAATTCCTTCAAACTATATTCCTTGCTTAATGGCACCCTGGATGTTGCCTTCAATGTAAAAGTCATATATTACAAGATAACATGTATTTAATTTTTTAAGGCTTATTATATTATCTTACATGCATGTCTTTAATACTTCAATCCTTGCAAATACCTAGGAAGTATGAATATTAGAGGGGATAGGGCCAATGTGGGTAATGAATCCAAGATTAGAAATCATGTCTATGGTCCTTTTCTTTCAACTGTCTCTATAATACTGAGAGTGAGGGATATGGGGAAAAAAATAAAGAAATAGATGGCAGAAACATATCTAGACAATAAATAAAATGGTGATAAAGTTTGCAATACCTTGGAAAGAATATTTGTACTTAGATTAGCTGGTTCCCACCAATTGTTCGAATAAGGCTGTACCAGTAGGTAGTTGTTTTTAGTGTCCTGATATATAACATGTCAATTTTTAATGTTATAGTGAACATGCAATTAAATAATGTTCAACAAAGTGTCCTGTGAATTATGTAATACAGCATGAATGTTCTGCTATCAATTTACCCCTCAGCTCTCTCCATATTTCAATCTCACAGAAATTACCTTCAGCATTCGCCGATCATCTTGTAGTTTAACTTGTAACTATGAAATCATTCATTCAGCAAATATTCAGGGCCCCTCATGGGCTGTGATCTGGGCCTGTGACCTCTGAGAAGACTCAGGTATGGACCAGGCTCTCAAAGAGCTCACAACACAGAGGGAGGCAGGCTGAACAAATGATTCCAAACAGGATGAAAGTGGCCTCATTAGAGCTCAGACATATAAGCTGTTACTTCACCCTATAAGAAAGGGCATTTGAAATGAGCTCCAGACAGATGAGTTTCTGTTGAGGAGTGTGTAATCTATATGAAGCCCTTAAGTCATTTTATTATTTGTTGTTTCTCAATCATCAAACCTGAAGCTCCTCACAGGTGAGAGATGCTCTTTGATTAGAGTGGGAGGCTCTGATCCTGGACATTTTACATTCTTCTTCACCTAGGACCATTCACTGTACCAACTGCCTGCACATTGTACGCTTTCCTTAGTCAGAGGGTCTTCGTGCATCTCTCACTTCAGCACAGCAGAGAAGAACTTTGGTTGAAACCGTCAGTCAGATGAATGATGTAATGACATGTATAAGACAATGTAAACTTTAGAAAACTATGAAAGTTTTATTTTTTAATTGAAAGATTTTATTTTTTTGAGAGAGGGGAAGGCAGGGAGAAAGAGGGAGGGAAACATTGATGTGAGAGATGTTTCATTGATCAGTCACTTCTCACAAATACCTCCACTGGGAACCTGGCCCACAACCGAGGCATGTGCTCTGACCAGGAATCAAACGGGTGATCTTTTGCTTTGCAGGATGACACCCAAGCAATTCACACTGGCCAGGGAAAAACTGAAAGTTTTAATGAGTTTGTAAGTGGTTTAGAGAAGAAACTATGGATTAGACTGCACAACCACTGATACTGTGATCTTAGACATATAGTCAAAGATTTCTATATCTCTGAAAGATCACTTTCCTCATTGTAAATGGCGACAGTTACAGTACCTTCCCCATCAGGTGGTTGTATGTGTGAATGAGTTAATTCACATAGAATTCTTAAAGTCTGAAACATTGTGAGAATGAAACAAATGGTAGTTACTATTGCTGCTGTAGTTGTTAGCTATTAAGATGATGACGAGCCCTGGCTGCTGTGGCTCAGTGGATTGAGCACTGGCCCGCAGACTGAAAGGTCACCAGTTCCATTCCCGGTCAGGGCACATGCCTGGGCTGTGTGAGGGGCAACCTATTCATGTTTCTCTCCCTTTCTTTCTCCCTCTATTCCTCTGTCTCGAAAAAATCGATAGATAAAATCTTAAAAAAAGATGATAATGTTGGACAGTGTGTAGAAGAGACCAGGAAAAGAAGGTGGCAGTTCCTAAGATACTTTCTGCATTTCCCTGCTCTTACCTGCATTTCTATCCATGAGGAAAATTTTGTTGTCAACAGAATTTGGGAAATACTCACCTTCTGGTGTTTACTGTGTTCCCTTCTGAAGGCCACCCAAGAAGGTTTCACTGAAAGATGACAAGAAATCAGTGTTTTGGTTGGTAAATGTTTCCAAAACCTGGAGATTCTTATTAGGGACACAGAATTCTGAATGAGAGCAGTCCAAGAACAATCCCAGGATGATTGGAAAATGTTTTCTGTTGTTCATTAAGGCCTAGGCTTCTACTGGGCCCATCCACTAATTTCATTAGAATGATAAAAAAAATAGACAAAGTGTCATCTATGCTTCACCCTTTGTTCATAAAGCATCTATTACATTTATTAAAAAATAAATTGTCCTCTCCTGACAAAAAAGTAGTAAAACTAACTGCACAGAAACTCCACATCTTCAACATAACCCTTTCTCCGTCCTGTTTTCTTCATTCCCACTGGCCTTGTCTGGGATAAGGGCACCGGGATCACCTGGCCTTTCTCTGGTATCCTCCCCACTGGGCACATACTGGCCATCCACGCCCTTCCTGTGTCATTAGACTCTGGTCAGCACCCACAGTCTGTCGACCCCAGAAAGGGAATTCCAGTCTCGTTAGAGATCACATCTTGTCTTCAGCTGTGTTTCAAGCCCAGACCCATGAAAGTGGACGGACCCCACCCACCGAACACTCACGATACTGGACAGATACTGGACAGAACGGCACCACGACCGACATCAGGAAACCACACGGTGATCAACCCCTCCCAACCCTGGCCCTCCCCCCAGCTCCCGAAATCAGCACGGTTAACACTGTTCCCCCTGCGTCTCCATGCAGGCCATCAGCCAGGTGTGGGGACCCTCCTCACCGGCCAGACCCGCCCCCTCCCTTGCAATGACGACCCTTCTGAATTAGTTATTTCTCGCTCACTTTATGTTCTTACACATTCACTGCTTACTAATGCGTCTGTAAATACATGTGATTACGTCGCCCACGTGAAAGTTTACGGGAACAGCCCCTCACTGTGCGACACACTGTTGTGCCTCTTGCTTGTCCGCTGCACCAGCAAACCTGTTCCCTGGTGACGTCCTGAGATGCCGCCCGACCCACACCAGGTCCGAGTCGGGAGGGCAGCGCTGGCTCCTCCCGCCGCTTACCTTGCTGCCTCGGGGCCCGTTCTTCATCCGAGTCCTCACGGTCCTCAAGGGTTAGGGTTAGGGGTTAGGCTTCGGTGGCCCGCCTGCAGCGGTGACACAGGAAAGCCGGTCGCGGGGCCCAGAGACCTGGGAAGAGACAAGACCTCTGTCCTGAGGCAGAGAGCGTGGGGGAGGGACAAGCCCAGGAAGCCCATGGAACTGGCTCCGATGGGACGGCAGAGGCTGCAGCGAGTTGCCGTGAGCCCCGCACAGTCAGCGCCGGGCCCGCTCTGACTGAAGGAGCAAACTCCCTGCGACCCCTGTCCCTGCGGGAGGGAGCTGCAGGCGGACGGAGCCGCCGGAGCCGGGGCCAGCCCAGCAGCCTGCCGGGTCTCCAGGCCCCCGGGCCCGGCGCCCGCACACGCGCTACCTGGGCTGGTGAGCGCGTCCGAGTTCCTCTTCACAATCCAGTGCCGGCCTCTCTCCCCGAGGGCAGGGCGCCCGGAGAGGGGGACGGAGGGGCTGGAGGGGCCGCCCGCGGGGGCGCCCTTGTTCCCGCCCCTCCCCCCGCGAGCCTCCTCAGGGCGGGCTCCGGAGGCCGCAGCCCGGGCGTCTGAGGGACCCCGTCGGCCAGGCGGGTCTGGGCGGCGCAGGAAACGCGCTTCTCCCGGGGAAGGGCCGGGAGGCGTCCCCGGGGTCCGGAGAAGCCCGCGCGAGGGGCAGGCGCAGTGTCCGGCACTCCGCCGTCTCTCGGGCTGAGAGGCTCGGGGTCCCTCAGGACTCGATCTGCGTCTTCCGGGCGGAGGACACTCCGCGTCCCGGGGGAGAGGGTCAGGCCGCCGCGGCTGAGGGGGGTTGGGGCGTCTCACGAGGGGCTTCCGGGTCCCCTCCACTGAGTCAGTTTCCAGGACGACGGCATTCGGGGTCTCTGCGTTTGGGGAGGTTTGGTCTTCCCGGGCGGGCGGGCTGCAGGAAGGGCGCCCCGAGCTGAGGGGAACTGGGGTTCCAGGCTGTTTGGGGGTCTGAGCGTTGGGGGTCAGGAGACGTGGGGTCCTCCGGGTTAGCGGACGCGCCCCTCGGTGCTGAAGGGGTTCGGGCCCCTCGGGATGAGGGCATCTGGGGTCTCTCTGGCCGGGCTTGGAAGGTCTCGGGCTGAGGGTTGCACAGGGCAGGGCTCCCCGCTTACCGGCCAGTCCCCCGGGGTCCCTGCCGCGCCGCCCACCTCGGCCGAGCGCCTTCTCGGAGCTCCTGGGCTTCCCGCCCTGGGAAGGAGGTTCCATCCTGGATAGCCGCGTGGGCACAATCCGCCAATCAGTGCTGGGCTCCCAGGGCCCTGCCCGCCAATGGGCGGTCAGAAGAAGCTGAAAGGGCGGGGCAGAGGGGCGGAGCCCCGTGGGTGCGGGACTGGCCAGCGGAAGACCCGCCCCGCCCCGCCCCGCGGGGATTGGCTACCCTGGGTCTCCCAAGCGACTGTCAGCAGCCTGCAGCTCCGGGGCTCGTTTTCCCGCAGCTATTGAGGGGTTCGCCCCGCAGCAGCTGGGAATCCCGAGCCGGGCTGGACCTTAGGGTGGACGTGGCCCTCCTGCCGCCTGGCAAAGTGTCTTTGTTCCACCAGACTGTGGTCGGGATCCCCAACTCACACCTAGACCAGTCTGTGCCCCCCCATCCCCACCTTTTCAAACCCACTGTCAGCTAGAACTGCCGAAGCAGTGAGGACGCCGTCAAGACTGCATTGCGTTCTGTGGAAACCTAAGTCAGTGAATTTTGAGCACGCAATTCATAGACACAAAACAAGTCCCAGAGGGCTCAAATATGTAAACACAACAAATAGAATAATAAGTATAATGGGAAACACACCGGGAGAATTTCACATCTCAAAGAAGTGGTGTTACGATTGATAGGTGTGTTTAAGTAACTCAGGTGTAAAAACATTTCAGAAATAGGAATGTAACCGGAAAAGACTGCGGCGTTTGGGCTGCCTGTCACTACCAAATCCAACAAGCAATGACAGTGATTGAATCTTTTATAGGCGCTTTATTCAGGTGGCAATCCTAGAAGATGGCAGGTTCATACCCTAACAGACCATCTCCCTCTTTCTTTCCTGGCCAGATCTCTTATAAGGGGGTTGGGGGAGGGCAAACAAGGTGTCAGCGAAAGCCTTTCAAATTCAACAGTTGCCTCCAAGGGGGAAGGGTGGTCCTTGTTTCTTCCTGGTACAGATGTCTCCAGGAGGTCAGCTGCTTATTCTCAGGCGCCAGGATGGGCCTGATCTGTAGTTACTGAAACAAAAACTTAACCTACACATGACTTGCTAGATTTATGACTATTTACCTTAAGCTAAATTTTCCCAAGTCTTAAGCACCTATCAGGAAGATGAGATAAAACCAAACAAAACTAAATCAATGTAGAAATGCTGGAAAAACCTACAAGTATTTTGCATAAAAATAACATAAAATGTGAGAGCAGGGTCAGTTTTGCTGCTACTGGCTTTCATGGGATAAAGTGGGAAGAGTGTTTCTGGTCCTTACCTCGTTTTGAGCATGTAAATATAACTTGATTTCCATGGACCTGAAATGAGCCAACTAATTATTACTGTGAAACTGCATAAAGGGAAACCACACTAAAGTGGAGTTTGGGGTCAGTGGGGGTGCTGTCATATAGCATCACCCAGGGTCAATGACAGGAAAAATTGTCTGTCACAGGCCCCAACATGAAGAAGATACCGTGTGCTCCCAGGAGAAACCGACTCCCCAGCACCTCACCCAGAGAGAAACCATCCTCACCCTGAACTGATGCTTTTCCACAATGCACTTTCACTTGTAGTGACCCCTCCCAACTTCCTCCTTTCTCCCTGTAAAATATGTTCCACTCCTTTACTTGTGGAGCTGGCCTGTGATTTTTGCTACAGCTTGCTTGTCCTAAATTGCATTGTTTTTTTACTGTTTCTGAGTAAACCCCTTATCTGCTGGTAAAATAACTGACTGCTCTATTTTTAAGGTCCACATAATTTGGTTGCCTGTATGGGGATCCAGAGGACTCCTGACATCTCTGAGGCTGATGAGCAAGCAGGTGCAGTGTCCTTGCTCTGAAAAACTAGGGGAAGGGTCCTTTGGTACAGACTTCCCAGTGATCATTTTGAGAATAGCCATCCAGAAATAACATCCTCATACCCTCTGACCCAGAAATTCCACTTTTCAAAATTTTCCCCTAGTAGTCCTGACTTGGTAGCTCAGTTGGTTACAGTGTCCTGCCTATATGTCAAGGTGGTCAGTTCATTCTCCAGTCAGGGCACATGCAAGAAGCAACCAATGAATGAATACATAAGAGGACCAACTAAGTCTCTCTCTGTCTTTCAAATTAATAAATGAAATGAATAGAAAAGCATTAAAAATTTCCCCCTAGTTATGCTTCCCTGTGTATGAAATGAAGCATGTTCCATGTATTTTATCCAACACATATAATAACAGATTTAAAGTTTTCAGTAGAAGAGAAATTGTTAAATTATAGTTTGCTAACACTGTTGAAGCAGGAGACAGCATGGGAAGAACTCTGAGACTGCAGTACTGTCACTGGCCAGCATTTATCAGCCTGGTTGCCAGGAAACACCTTTTACCAATTAGGTAGAATAAATAATAAACCGAGGCAGGGAGGAGGAAGGAGACAAGTCTCACATGCTAATTCAGCAGTCCTAAGCCTGTTCTGATAATATTGCCAGGTGTTTCTGTAGCATCTAGCTAATGCGAGAACAAATTTCGGAGACTTTCAGGGTTTCAAAGATGTTACTTTATTGGCTAAGTTTTAACCTGCGCAGGGGCGAACTCTCAGAGTGTCCGGAGACACAGTACCTACAAGGGCTGCAGACGAGAGTCGCCCTGAGCGCTTATAGTTAGGTCCTTATATAGGGTTTTTGGCACGAGCAAGCAAGCAAGCGTTATCACAGAAGCTGATGTGGCAGTTAGCTATTTGCTTACAGAGATCGCGCACGGGAACAGGGTAAAATTCATATTTTTAAAACTAAACAAAGCATTGCTTATCTAGCATACCCAGGGGAGAGCATCTGCCCGACATAGGATGTTTGCTTAACTACATCCTGCACTCTGTCTCCCTTATTAGCTCCTTTTAGCTACAATGTGGTTCCTGTTTACTAAGGTCACATTTAGTTCCTAATTTTCTTGTTCCCAACATTTCAATATCACAAGAAACACTATTTTAGCAAGAAAGAAAGTCCTTGAAATTCTATGAAACATTTCCAGTATCTGGGAAAGAAAGCCTCGAAACTGTGCTTTCATCCCAAGGCCTGAATGTGGGAGAGGGTCCCCGGTGCCCACAGAAAGAGCCCATAAAACAACTTTGGTTAATTGCCTACCTCTGGCCACTATCTGTTTTATGAGGGAGTCCCTGATGCTTACAGAAAGAGTCCATAAATAACCTTGGAAAGTGCCCCAATTTTAATTAACTGCCTCCTGTCACATATTTGTTTTACAACAAGGTGAAAAAATGGGGTCTGGAGCAAGATAAGAATTGGGGCTAACAGACCCCCACACATACCTAAGCGTGGGTAGTCACATTCCCCCAGGAAAGCTGGCACCGCATTTACCCGTTAATCAATTTGTAACTTTTTTTCCTCCCATCCCACCAACTATATAAGTGCTCAGAACAAAGTGATCTCCACCCCCACCCCTCCTCTGGGGCTCCGGGTGCTCTTGGCTCTCAGGCCATAAGGCTTTTGGCCACCTGGCCTCAGGCTGCCCAGGGGCTTGCCACCCCGGTCTTCAGCCGCTCTTGCTTTTGTCCCCTTGCTTTGCCCTGAAACTTTGCCTTTCACCCCTTACTCTATCCAGTCCTGTTCTCTTCCATGGGAACAGGCCACTAATAAACTGATTACATACTACTAGATTTGCTGATATATAATTCTTTACATGCGTCAGCAAGAAGAACCAGGACTCTCCCATCAACAACACTGTGTATCAGCTCAGTAGTGCTGTTTCTTAGCATCAGGGTTGTGAGGTGGCCCTGAAGTAAGGCATCCCTGGGGCAAACTCCCTCTGCTGCTGTGCTGCTTAGGGCTTCTCTGCTCATCTGCAGGACTGCTGGTCTAGACCTTCATTTCCTCTTTGCTCATGAAGAAGTGAAAACTGGAAAAGGAGCCCCTCTGAACAATGAGATCAGGCTGGGCGAGCAAAGAAAAGGCCTCTGGTGTTGTCACCACAACAGACTAGATTATTATTATTTTTAAATTATGCTGTGTTTTCCTGTAGTACTTTTTAAGCTCAAACTGAGATGGCCTTTTTGTTGTTGTTGCTGCTTACTTAAATTATATATAAAAATGAAAACAATCGAAAGTCCTACCCAAACAGGAAATATCTGCTGTTATATTAAGTATATATGCTTCTAAAGAAGGTGGGGGTGTGTGGGCTGGGATGGGTGGAGGAGGGCAAAAGGGAAGAGCTGGGAAACTGTAATAGAATAACAATAAAAAATCATTTAATGAAACAAAGTGTATACCCTTCCAGACATCACTACTTCCATATTTCCATTCTTCCACTTTCTCTGGATTTAATTTATTATTACAGGTCTGTAAGATGATGCAAAATTTGTGAATTTTCAGGCTCTGTCCCTAATGTGTGGATTTATCGATACGTTTTTCCCAGAGTGTTTTTTATGCACTATTTTTATTATCATTCTTTTCAAATTATTTTTTAACTGCAATTGTAATTTAATTTGTGGGTTATTTACAAGAGTATTTTATAATTTTTAAATATCAGCACTTTCTAGTTATCTTTTATTACTGATTGCTAGATTAGCTGCAATGAGAGCAAGGAACATACTTTATGTAATTTCAACCCTTTGATATATTTTTTGGAAACTTGCTCCATGTACAATATGGTCAATGTAAAAAAAAACAAAGAAAGCTCCAAGTGTGATTCTGTGCTGCCTTCCCTTGTTCATTTTGGGAATAACACCTTAGTGCTGGTCAACAAGAAAAGTTGTGTATTCCGGTGGAATTTCAATGGTTATTGATGGCAATGGTATTTAGAATCATATTTTAAAATGTCTCAAGCTATGGACTGTCTAATTACCTTGTGACTAGATTCCAGATTAGGGC